ATTGTATATAAGCAGCAAGCTTTGTAACGCATTAAAAAGGCACTTCGTAGGAAGAAAGTTTAGCGGGAGTACACATATACGTGCTCTACCGAACAGACAACCAACAGTGGGGTCGAAAAGTGACTAAGCCACTACTAACAGAAGGGAGTCGTCACAGACGTGGGCTATTTCGGACCTATTTTTGCTTTTTTGAGCCAGACGAAAGTCCGATCAGCTCCTGTATTCGGACCCAAGTATGTACATTCACACGCGATAGTTCAACCGTCGCAGTCCGACAACTTCTATTGTATGCTCCACAGCCTGCTGGTGCAAGTGAGTTGACTTGCGCGTGGATAAGATTATAGTGCTAGAAGACTTGCGCTGCATCTACCGCACCCCCTCCTCCTCCCTCACCAACTTGTGCCTGGTGTCAAGAAGAAGTCAAAAAGACTAGAGGTGGGATTGGGTGCAGGTGGCTTGCACGGCGTGAGCCTACACCTACACGTGCCAGTAACGCTCTCGTCCATGGTCGGCATTTGTTATGGGAGCGCAACCCGAATAACGTCTGTCACGCCCTGACATAGTCCCCATATTGGCCCAACACATCTCTAACATGACCGGTTTAGGGGGGCCAAGCACATACGCAGGCTTGCAAACGGTCCACAAATGATATCCAAGCGGTGGGTCGTCACATTGTGAGTACTTTTGCACCAGTTAGTTGCTTTGTACGTCGTCTTTCCATATCAGATGTGTTGTGATGTGATGTAGCCAGATATTTCCACCGTCCTGATGGTGCAGGTTTAAGCACCTCTTCTTAATTCACAGCTTATCATCTAATCTGGCATATTTTACTTTTCTGCACAGGAGACGTCCGTGGTTTGTGCGTTGCATCAAACCAAACCCCGAAAAGAAGGCGCTTACCTTCGAGGACACAATGGTCATGGAGCAGCTTCGCTACATTGGCGTCTTGGAGACAGTAAAGATTCGAAGTTCCGGCTTCCCAGTTCGCCTCCCCTATACTGTGTTTGCCAACAAGTAGGTTCACTGGTCAACCGGCAACTTAAACCATTTTTATTGTTCTCTTTGGAATGCAGGTGGCGGATGCAATTATAAAGGGCTATTGATTGTTTTGCCGTAAGAATCGGAAAGGTCAACGTGCACAGAAACGTATGACGCCAAGCGCCTCGACTAAAAATGCCTTTTGTTGCCGAGAGAAACATTGTTCTTGACTTTTTTCCGTCACATGGTCTGACTTCTCGTCTACACTGAGCAGGATAAGGAGTGTCAAGCAGCCTGACTGACAGTTTGTTGTCCAGATATTCGAAGAATGTACCTTTCACATTGGGAGTTAAAGTTAGCCCTCAATGGTTACCATCGTCCGGTACTGGCAGCTCTTAACTGATATCAGTCCCAAAGAAGCAATTCACAGTTTCGGTTGAGTTACTCGTCTCAGACTTTATAAAAAACCTGTGAGGGTTCTGAAAATCCCTCCAATGTAGTCAAATGTCCAAAATTTGTTTTCTAAGCGCGTTTTTTGAACGTTTGCAAAAACGATCGAATTCTATAAATATCAAGATCTTCTGCGGTCGTGTAACTACTCCCTACTCCCTTAATTATTTTAGAACAAGGTCCTGTAATGTTATATCTGGACAGAAGGGATGAAAGAGGGCTCATATATCGTACTTGGTCTGTATGCTGAGATGTGACATGCTTGTATGTAGTGGCCGTAAGAAACACCTATACAGAATTCAAGTATTTTTTTCCAAACGGTTTGGAACTAACTCATTGTCGATTGAAACCTTTATCTACATCAACTGGCAAGAGTAAAAGACAAGCGACCGTTATGCTGGGGAATGGAATTTTTGTGATGGTTTATTGATCCTGTATGGACTCTAGCTATCATTTAGGAACCCCTTTGCAGTATATGCGGTTGTCTATGTCGGAGTTTCCAACAATAATACTTTAGCGAAACCTGTTTTCTTTCTCTCGAAGTAGATTCAAACCTCAATCTACATACTCAAAGCTAGCTTTCGCTGCATTTGTCACAGTAAAAAACCGGAGGATGCGAATCCAGGTATTATTCTCACATCAAACTATTTCATAAAGCATTTAGCTGACAAATCATTTTGTGTAGCTTCAGCCACCAAAAGCATACATACATTCCCTCTTTCCACCTCTAACGAAGGGTCATTAAGATTGCCTGAGGCTGTTGTGTATCGGATTTTCCTTTTAACAAATTTACACTAGACTTTTCTGGTTTGCTCTAGAGCTCTGGCCAGAGAAACTGAGTTGGTGTATGTATCCCCCGTGGGCTTGCGCTGAATTCCATGGAGGTCCCCTTTTCCTGTGTCATAATTCTAAACCTCTTAAGCCTAATCATACCCATCTTGAAATGTAGTGCAAGGCTACTTGCAATACGACAGTAATTATAACTGTGCTGGGTTGGGCAGTATGTAATCAACAGCCTGACGCCTGAGATGTGAACTTGGACGTTTAACGTAAAAGTTCCCGATTCCAAAATGCTTCTGGTAGCCCTCTAGAGCTGGGTATGGCGAGCAAGCGCCGTCAAAGCAGTCGGACAAAACGATTTCGGACGCCATGTCCTCTATCGGTAGCACCTCTCAACCTAGTTTTAAGTATTATAATCAGAAATTTCCTGCTTTGGTTGAAAAGTATACTTTCACTTGCGATTACTTCGAATCATAGCCTGAACTGTCTGCCTTTGCAATCTCTGCCATAGTTACAC